GCCCAGGGACTCAACATGGGCAAAGTTCACCACCCAGGAACTAACTTCAGCCTGGAAAGGACTATACACTGTCATCCTGCCTGCACCAATGGCTATTAAGGTCAACAGCATCCCAATCTGGCAGCACCATTCCCTGATGAGGGGGGAAAAGCAAAATGAACGGTTCAGGCCTCTTCAGACAAGATTTTGGCATTTATTGGAACTCTGATTTTTCTGGTTATGACTGTTCAGGAGAATCCTTATAGACCTGGGCCCCAATGGGACTGGGAACTTAGAAATGGAGTATTGCGGGAGGTCTTAAGAAATGTTACTACAAGGGGAATAGAAAAACCTGTCTTCAACCTTGTTCTATGTGACCTCTTAAGGGGGACTGTTAGGGTCACAAAGGTCCCTGATGTCTGGGTCACATATAGAGGGGTTAGCCCCCAACTAGAAGACACCCCAGCATGGAGCTGTGGAACATCTGCTGCAGAATGGGGATTGCAAGGGATACAAATTTATATCTGCCCTGGAGGCAGCAAAATTAAATGCTAATGAATATTTGTTTCTCTGGGGTTGCAAAACAACATCTACTATTACAGGCTATCTAGGAAATAGGGATACACATATAAATTTTAAAAGGCTGACCAAACCCAACTATCTACATCTGTGGGCATTACTGCCCTAATCGAGAATAACCAGAATCTAAGGGACCTCAGCCTCCAAAGAGATACAGATTTTAGCTACTTAGAAAACTCTTTAGCCAAAATGGTCCTACAGAACAGGAGAGGATTAGCCCTCTTATTTCTTAAGGAAGGAGAATTTTGTGTTGCACTGGGAGAAAAATCCTGTTTTTATGCAAATAATTCAGGGATTATTCAAGAAAGTTTATCACTAGTTAGGAAAAATATCGAGGAACAAGAAAAAGGCAACAATGTGAAAATTGGTTTACAACTCTATTATCCATCATTGCCGGTCTTCTCGCTGTATCATGTTTACTCCTAGCCTTTGGGCCATGTCTAATAAATGGCCTCATAAAAATACTAAGTTGAGCCCTGGCCGGTTTGGCTCAGCGGTTAGAGCGTCAGCCTGAGGTCCAGAGAGACTGGGGTTCGGTTCCCACTAAGGGCACATACCTCAATTGCAGTATGTCCTCGGCCCTGGTTGGTCATGCAGGTGGCAGCCACTCGATGTGTCCCTTTCACATTGATGTTTCTTTCTCTCTTTCTCTCTCTCCCTCCCACTCTATCTGAACAAAAAATGGAAAAATGTCCTCACTTAAGGATAAAAAAAAAAAAAATACTAAGTTTTGTCAATGATTTGACTTTTCAGGAAAACCAGTGGAGAATGACCTGGGCCCCAAGGCTAAGGCAACTAAATTCCATTCATATGTAGGCCCCTTGGCTAAGGCAATTAAATGACTCCATTTTTATCATCAATGGACCTTCCTCAATATTTTTCCAATAATAGGTTAATTACCCCTAGAAGTAAAAGAATTTTGCCTAAGGTTATAGTTGCCCCACGTGTTGGGAGATATTTACAGTTTCTGAGTATTGGAAACTGTAAATCATGAGCCTAGTGAATAATGCTAATTTTGACTTCTGTAATTACTGTCACACCCACTATTGTACTGGTCCCGGGAGTGAGGGGGCCAAAAGGGGGATGGGGCTTCTGTCTTTAAAAGTGGACAAACAAGAATGGAGCTGAGGATCTGGGGAAGCTGTACCCCCCCAGCCTGTCGGCAAGAATAAAGCGCCGAATTTACAATTCAGCTGTGGGCTCATCTCGCGGACACGTTACAACATGTGTATGTATACATACACATCCTTCCACAAGTCACTCACTTCTTGATACCTATAATGATAGTTTTGTGTAAATTATTAAAGAGACCTTCTGACTCATCTATCTTTGTTTCCCTTATCTTTTCTCAACACACAAAATAATCCTTTTAGAAAAGCCAGATATTTCACTCCTTTGCTCAGAACCCCACAATGCCTTCCCATGTCAGAGTGTTACAAGATATTAAGAAGCAAAGAAAATTTCCAGGGCAGGAGGAATAGGAAAACTGAGACAGGAAGTTAAAATGAAGGCCAGAGTATGGGCAATTTGCAGCTGGCCTGTAAATAATAAGCTATTATCTTCTCCAGCCAAGGAAACTTGAGAGCAAATGGTTAAAAGCCTCCCTAATGAGAGAATGCAGGAAAACGGGAGAGAGGGGGGAGTCTTTCTCACCCACCAAATCAGATGTTTTAGGGAAGGGGAAAAGAAAAGAGCAATTTTTATTTATTTATGTTTGTTTGTTTGTTTATTACTTCCTAAGCAGAAAAGCTAGCAGTCTCAAGGCTTGACAAGATAAAATTGCCACGTGCTTCTCATGAATTCTGGAAAGGCCACAACAAAGTAAAAAGGGACCTTACAAATTAACCTGTACCAAAATATTCAGCAAAGGAATTTTGAAACTTATACACAGGAGGCTATATAATGCCTCAGACCCCCACCCATCTTGCTCTTCAGATTAGCTGAGAGTCCATCTGCACTTCATAAGCCAGATGTATAGATTTGCTTGCTTCTTTAATAAATTTGCTTGAATTGCTTTAATAAATTGGTTTTTGTTTGTTTGTTTTTTCCCCACAATGCGATCATCTGGAATTTTCTCAAATTCATTTATATGAGAAAACAAGAATCGAGGTTGGGGACAGTCCTCTCCCTTTGACTCAGGGTACTGTCCTATCGAGGTGCCTGTTTCAAGAGGAAGGTCCAAGTCTTACAATGGCCTAGAAAGCCTGTGATCTCCCCATTCCATTATTACCTCTCTGACCTCCTACCACTCATCTCGTTCATTCCACTCTAATCTCCTTACCATTCCTCAAATATGCCAGGTGCAACCTCCCTTTTAAAGGCCTTTCCAGAATTCATTCTGTGTCCAATGGAAAGTTCTGCCCCATGTTATGTACATGGCCCTGACCTACTTATATCTTTGCCCAAATTTCTTTTCAATGAGTTCTACTCAAACCACTCTAATATATGAAGTTGTAAGTCTACACCCCCAGATTATTCCAATTTTTCTTTTATTCCACAGGATTTTATCATACTTATAATTTAATGGTATTTGTTAATCATGTCTCTAGAGACTTGTGCATCCCAAGTGTATAATGGTATCTAGCATATAAATATCTAAATAAATAGTGAATGAACCTTTATATCCCAGACAGTAGATGCTCAGTATATATTTGTTGAGTATAAACCATGAAATACTACCTTTGTCATGGATTAGGATACTTAACCAGAGCATGGAACCTATTTAAATGTCAGCTCTGTAACTAAATGGATTAGATAGATAAGTACACCAGTTATAACAGTACTTATCTCCAGAAGGGAAGTGTTCATCAGTGGTCAAGGGGATCTTTAGCTTTATTTGTAATATTATACCCCCCCCCAAAGATGTATCACTCATGTAACTGAAATGAGTACAAATTTTAAAACAATTAGAGGTTTTGAAAGTAACAAAGCAAGAAAAGAGAGCAGGATTTTTCAATTTGAAGAAAGGCAAAGGGAGAACAGTTTCTAAAAAGTAGATTCATAAGAAATGGGCTTAAATGCAATATGAAACTTGATGCCTACAACTACTTAGAATAGAAATTGGGATATTCTAGGGGTAATAGATTAACATTTCAAAATGCTATTTAGCCCTGGCTGGTTTGGTTCATCAGTTAGAGGATCGACCCATGGACCAGAGTGTCCCGGGGTTCAGTTCCCATTAAGGGCACATACCTCAGTTGCAGTTTGTCCCTGGCCCTGGTTGTGGTCATGTGGGTGGCAACCACTCGATGTGTCTCTCTCATACATGAATGTTTCTCTCTCTCTTCCTCCCTCTCTCCCTCCAGCTTTATCCGAAGATAAATGCAAAAATGTCCTCGGGTGAGGATAAGAAAAAAAAGCTAGATATTTAAAGACATGGACCTGCCCAAGTGTGAGAGCTAAACCCATGCATGACCTATCATTGTTTATTTCGATCCTGCAATTCTATAATGTCTAAAAAGTCTTATAGATAGGGAGATGGGACAATGAAACCTTAACACTGGCTTACCTCCCTCCCCAATTAAGTCTAAGATATCCACTATTGCTTTGTTAGACTGTGCATAAATTGCAATAAGTAAATTCTGCTTGGTTTCAAAGCCATAATTTTAAGAGGTTACAAACCAGTAAAAATACATCCACCTCAGAAAATGTTTGAATATGACTGTCAAACTTCAATTAACATCAATATATCAATTTGATGGCTAATCTAATAACTACAAAAGTATATTTTTGTTTTAAATATTTGTGAGTTGTTTCCATGTACTTACAAGACTTTCACAAAATTTTTGAGATAGGACTATAGGGCTGTTCCAAAAAGGTGTATGAAAGATACTCTTCCAGTATGCTAGAACAAAGCCTAAAGCAGCTCTGTATACTTCACATAGTAAGCTCACATAGTAAGTTTAAAAACATGTTCAGCCCTGGCCGGTTTGCCTGGAGACCAAAGAGTTGCAGGTTCGATTCTGGCCAAGGGCATGTACTTCAGTTGGGATTCATCCCCAGCCCTGGTCAGGGGTCATGCGGGAGGCAATCAATTGATGTCTCACACCGATGTTCCCCACCCCCCCACCTCCCACTCTAGCTGAAGATAAATGAAAAAATATCCTTAGTAAGGATTAAAAAAAAAGGTTGAAATATCTTTTCTATTTATACTTCGGTGGTATTTAGTATTTAAACAATAATTGAGCCAGTGTTTTTTACAGGGCAAAATGGATATAAAGTCCTTTCGTTATGGCCTTTGCAACTATTTCCCCAAATACTATATAATAGTCTGCACATGCCACTGAAGAAATTTAACATTCAACTTGCTGGTTTTAATCTCCACAAGTGAATCTAATTTTACTGTAAAAGTTCTATCAACAAAAACATGAAAATTCTGCATTCTCCCAAATATGTCATCATTAGGTAAAAACTCATTTAGGCAAAATAGTATTTATGCTTCCATTTTATTGTTTTTAAGAATTAAACTGCCACCTCAGTAGTCTTAAGAGCAATATAATGAAACATACATACATTTAATTTAGACTATGTCCATTATAGTTTCAAAGTCTTCCCTGAAATAAAGCTGGAATTCACATCTTTTTTCTTTAAGGAAAGAAACACTAACAGTAATTTTGTTATCCTTCTACTAACCCACCCACCCCCAAACAATAACTGGATGAATTCAAGTCTAACACGTTTAAAATTTGTGTGTGCTACAAAACATTCATCTGATCTGCTTACCTGCATAACTTATATTTCTTAAACCTAACTGAATTTTATCATGATAGTACTTTTTTTGTCCAATACATAGGCCAAGTGGTTTCATAACCACATTCAACTCTAGTGAATTTCAATAAAAACATAAGAGTTCTTCATAAATAGTTGAAAAGCTCTAAAATGAATTTGGCTACTCTTATTACATGAAACAAAGAATGGTATTAGATTTTCAACAGTAATAGTTTAATGGCTCCTAAATAGGGGCATGAAAGGGAATCAAGGGTGCACCAGTCCAAGTACCAACAATAATGATTGAAGCACTCACTCACCACCAACTTTTCACATTATTTCACTCCCATGCTTCTAATAACAAAATTTTCTCACCAGAAATATTACATTAACACTGGATTCTCAAATTGATAGGTGTGAAAAATCATTTAACTTAAAAAAAAAAAAAAGTGTATTAGTTATTTTCGACTGGTCGAGGTTGAAATGGTCATTTATATGATTTCTAATTTCAGCTAAGTTCATAGATGACTTTGCATCTGATTAGCCAAAATGAGAAACTGTTTTGCCTGTACCTGACAGGATTAAATGGTAAATCAGTAATCAGTTCATCCTTTGTCAAAAAAAAATGTTCTAAATTTACACACTACAAACTATTCAATAAATGATATCTGCACACTACATATTTTGTTTATATTATGCACCATTTCAGGGGTGAGAAAATACTTCACAGGGTCTTATTCAAAGGATATATAACATCCTAAGAATAAGGAATTGTACATGAAGTCTATAGAAACTGAGTGGTTATCTTAGCTGGATTATAACAAGCCCCTATAATGCAAAAGCTGACTCTAAAGGCACCTTATAAAGCACTGAAATTCACAATTTAGTCATCACTTTTCTCCAATACAAAATCAACTGTTGACTCCATGCTAAAATATCCCAAGTTTTAGACCACTTAACCAATAAAGAAAAAGGAAATCACTAATAGTCTTTAAATTTCAAGTTAGAGAAAGAAACCTTATCATACCTGAGCAATGCAAGTTTGTGACTACAAGGTTTGTGACTTCATTAATACAGTATTCAAATTCCTCCACGGCATCCGAATTGTGATTTAAAACCCAAATAAACAGGACCCCACTTAAGCACAGGATCAAATTCTACCATGAAATGAGGAATTACATAACGCCTATTCAGCCCTATTTAGTTTAAGACAATGAGCAGAGTAGAACACACTTCATCTAAAGAACACCATTTAAGCAGTTGTATAAAATAATGTTACTTAAGATTACTAAGTGTGGAGATTCCAACCATTCAGTAAAAAGTATTAATGAATAACAGCATCCCCCAACAGCTTGGAGCCTGTAGAATAAATTACTTTGGCCATATATTTCCAAATAATTAGTAATGTTTTTAATATTACAAACATAAATATATCTCAGTACTGGAATTTCAACATATTTTGGTGCTCCTGAACTGCCTAAAATGAAAAGGCATCCAAAGTGAAGTGCATTATATATTTAATAAACCTCAAAATTTCAGTGCCTAAAATGTGAAGTAACTCTCTACCATTTAACAGTCTGCCTTACAGTAAAATCTAGATTTTTACTTTTAGGATTTTATTGTAACTTTGGAAATTAGTGGTAAAACATATGGTTTTAAAAAACAGTATGTGGCTGCACTTAAATTCACATAAAAATAGCATTTTTACAACCATATTGAAATTTAATCCTTTTACACAGGTTAACAAAATGTATCACAAGAAAAACAAAACTGGGTTTAACAAAGGCAATACTTTTGAAAGTGGAACAATAAAAATTTTCAAATTTTTTACAAATGGTCACCTCTGGGTTAATTTACCACACTAGGGGAACAAAGTTGCTAAAATATAGCTGTGCTCTACTGAGCCACTTATCTGCACTACAGTATAGTACTTGAAATCAATCCTAAGGTGAAGATTTAAAACCATTTTAAGAGACAAGACCCTAAGTGTTTTATAGCCACCTCAATAAGAGGTGTTTTTCCTTCCCAAAACAGTCAAAGCTTAATTAAAAGACTGACTACACGTAAGTTTTTTTAAATCATATTTTCAGTTCGAAATACTATTATCATTGATAATATGGTCTATATCTTGTCTGATCTGGATGATGTGGTCCAGGAAGTGGGGTTTGAGAAGGCGGACCTTGCATTCGTGGAGGAGGAGGTGGCCCTCTTGGTGCAGGCCATATACCAGGACTCATTCCCCCTGGTTGTGTAAATGGAGGGCTCAGAGTTCCTTGATCTTCAGTGAACTGGGGTAAAGAGTTAGGATTATAATGGTGAGGAGGGGGTGCAGTTACAGGTGGACCACCATGTTGAGGTGGGGGAGGTCCTGGAGGAGGATGATTCATATAAGGTGGCATCTGGGCAATAATATGTCCAGGGGGAGGGGTTATTGGTGGTGGAGCAGAGGTCATTGGTGGAGGTGGAGCTTGGCTATAAACCAAGTGAGGAGTACCTGCAGCCTGGGGAGGATGTGGCATTGGATGGCTTATTGGTGGTGGAGGAGGTGGGGGTGGTGCATAATGTTGCTGTGGAGGCATAATATGATGAGGGTGCGATACCACTGGTTGACCCTGATATTCAGGATGATGGTGAGCAGGTGCTGGGGCAGGAGGTGGTGGTTCTCTAGCACCTGAATTTGAGTCATCCTGAATAGGGACAGTAATTAAATTGCTGTGTTTTCTTGTTGAAATACGAAAGGTTTCCTGACTGACCGAACGAGGTGGAGGTGGAGCCATGGACATTTCTGCTGGAGGAGCACGAATATCCTCATGTGGCTGATTATAGTGCTCATGTGAAACATGTTGCAAAGGAGGTGGTGGCATCATGATGTGCTGCTTTGGCGGAATATGGCTCATACTATGGTGCTTGTCTGGCGGCATTATAAAACGATCAGGGATTTCAGTTGGTGGTGGGGCAATAGGAGGATGAACATTTTCAAGTGAAGCACGGGTAACAGGTTTTCCAGCTCTCATATGGCGGTGGTTGATATGAGCCTGTAAGTCTCTCTGAGACAAATACGTTCTCTTGCACCCTTGAACAATGCTACACATGAAGAGAGAACCTCGTGTACACTGCTCAATTCGCTGCACAGGATCATTACAGCTAAATTAGAAGAAGAAAAAAATCATTTACTAAAACAGACTTTAAAAATAATGCACTTCATTTCAAAGATATGCTTATTCTTTAAATTTGTCATGGAAAATTTGTAAAAGTTCACGATTAAAAATTATACTGTAAGTGAACCTTTAATCAGTCCCACTTTGTTGTTTTTCACTATTAAGTGTCAGCATTTCTATCAACTTCAGAATTCTCAATACAAGAAAAAACTGAAAGTGTACCGAACAGATTGTTTTAAGGCCCTGGTTGGGTCCTGTGGGTGGCAGCCACTCGATGTGTCCCTTTCACATCGATGTTTCTCTCTCTCTCTCTTCCTCCCACTCTAGCTCTTCAAAAGACCTAGAATTTATCTTATTTTCTTTAATAAGTCTATACTTCCCATCCAGTTGCAAAAAAAAAAAAAAAAAGGGCAAATCAAATGTCACAATCATAAAATTCAAACTTGTACAGTATTTACTGAGCAACAAGAATTTGCTGAGGAAATAATACTAAGTGGAAGACGCTGCAAGGACTATGAAAACAATTAAGATCATCCTAATTATCAAGGTTCTTAACATTAAACAACATAAAATTTAAATTCAAACTCTGGCTATCCAGAGTCTCTTAAGAAATCTTTCTGGCCCTGGCCGGTTTGGTTCAGCGGTTAGATCATTGGCCTGTGGTCCGGAGAGACCTGGGTTCGGTTCCCGCCAAGGGCATGTACCTCTGTTGCAGTTTGTCCCCGGCCCTGGTTGGGTCCTGTGGGTGGCAGCCACTCGATGTGTCCCTTTCACATCGATGTTTCTCTCTCTCTCTCTTCCTCCCACTCTAGCTCAACAAAATGTTGAAAAATGTCCTCTGGTGAGGATTAAAAAAAAAAAAAAATCTTTCTGGATGGTCAGTCTAATTTACTACTAAAAAGTATTATACACTTCTGTCTTTCTAAATTGTAAGCATTAATTTTTTTTAAATGTTTTTTATTGATTTTTTTTAAAGAGAGAAACATCAATGAGAAACATCAATCAGCTGCCTCCTGCATGCCCCCTACTGAGGATCAAGCCCACAACTGGGGCATGTGCACTGGCTGGGAATCGAACCCGGACCTCTTAGCCATGGGACGCGATACTTAATGCACTGAGCCACACAGGCCAAGCATGTAAGCACTAATTTAAAGTTATTATTTTAATGACTCAAGGTCAAAATTATGACTATTCTTCATTCTCTATATTTAATCCACTCTTGCTTTTAGAGTCTTCTGAAATAGTGGAGACAACTTAACTAGGAATCAGAAGAATTGGGATCTAGTACTAGCTCTGTAATCTTGGAGAAGTCATTTAATCTGTTTCTTCATCTATAAAATGGGTTAAAACATCTACTCTACCTAACTCAATGTTTTTATATCTACCTCATCTGAGAGTATCCTTTAGATCAATAGAACAATAAAAATGACAATATTTAATCACTAACCACTATATATGTGATAAACTATTATCATTGAATATGTATGCCAGGTAATTTGACACTAAATTAAATGGCTCTATATTCTTGATTTTTGAGGTGTGTCATTATTTCCATCCTTGCTGTAAGGCTGGCACTCCTTCTTGATACTAATAGGCTTCCCTTTAATGGTCATTTGACACATTTCTCAGATCTGGGTCTGTTAATCCAGATAGGCTTATATTCTAAGTAATTAAGTTAAGGACCAAGCAGTGAGGTGCTTACAAGAGTTATATTTAATACCTTGAAAATTATATTCTCTTTTAAATATTAACATCAGAACACTTTTATCAAAGAGAAAAGCTTTTAATGTACTCTGCCATAGTGTTTTACATTGAAAATCTTTGTCCCAATGAAGATATCACATAAATTTATTTACTATATAAAGTAAATATACACCATATTGGAAAACTAGGCATTAGAGAAAATTAGGCAAACAAGCTAATACACATTTTTTATTTTGTAATTCTTCTGAATGATAATTCTAGGGAACAAATATTCTTTAAAATCATACTACAGATTTTACAATCTTTGACTTTAAATTGCTAATAAATGCCCTGGCCAGTTTGGCTCAGCAGTTCAGCATCAGCCTGCGGACCAGAGTCCCAGGTTCAGTTCCCGCTCGGGGCACGTACCACAAAAAGAAAGAAAGAAAAAGAAAAAAAAAAGCTAATAAAAATATTCCAAGAGAATTAGTTTTTATTGGTTTGTCAAAGAATCATCCTTTCTCTCTCAGTGATGCCAATCTTCCTGCACCATAAAAGGAAATCATCCCTTATAACTGCCCAGGCCTTGCTACCAACCAAAAAAAAAGTATCTCTTGGGATAGCTTCTGACACAAGTAAGAAGGAATCTAGGACAAGGAAGTTTCTCTCAAAGCTTTTCTCAAGCCTTCTATCAGGGTTCTACATTACTATAAAATTCCTTCAAAACCATTCCAATATAGATCAGTATAAACTAATACCTATAGATCTTCATAACATATCTGAGTCTATGCTATGATGGAGTTCTATAACACACTCAAGACATAATAATCAGATTTGAAGGTAATAAGAGCTTATACTTTCTAAGGACTTACGATATGCTAGGTACCATATATACTTATTTTACTCTAATAATAACCCAAGGAGGTAAGTGCTATTGGCTCCATTTTACAGATAAAGAAACAGTCTATATCACATAGGTAATAAATGGCAGAAAAGAGATTTGAACCCAGAAATTCTAATTCCAAAGTCTTTGCTGTCAATCGCTATGCAATACTACCTCTCTAGTGTCCATTGAAACAAGAAAATAACTGTTTCTGGCATATAACAAATTTTGTGATGACAAATATATTTTGTCATTTCAGCCAATCTGAATTGACTAATAACAGCTACCTAGCCTTATCCTAAGGAGAAGGCTAAGGCCAACTCTAGGCTCACAAAGAAGAGCCATGCCTGCACATGTGATATCCTGCCACTGGTGTGCATCACTTCTGACTTTAATCAAGATTATAAAGCTAAAGCACAAATTTTATTTTTAAAAAATTTAATGATGATCTTACCCTGGACACATCTTATCTCCCTTTTTTTCATGTAAAATAGCACAGTCATAGCAAAAAACATGCTTGCATGGAATCTGTGAACAGAGATATATTACAGTGATGCATATTAAAACAAATTAAAATTATTTCCAAAAAAGTTATAGTAAGAACAGTAACCTAGAAATAGAAGACACTTGAGAACTGTTTGTTAAAATGTTAACAATTAAGTACTAATTATATAAAAGCATTAGCCTTTTTCAATTACAAGCGCTTTGAGAATGTGATGAAAACTTTGACCCTTTCCCCAATAAATGTATACATGCACATTCACTTACTCTCCCTGAAGGTATATCCCTATTAATTTCATCATGGTCCCTAAGGATTAAAAGCTCCTGAAAAAGAATACTGTAATCATGTTTTATCTTATCCTGTTCCTCCTGAAACTATTCCAAAGCAGTAAGATAAAAAAAATCTCCTACATTTCATATAAGTAGCATTTTTCCCTGGTAGCATCTAAAAATAAATCAGAACATAGGAAAACAATGTTAAGCCATTTTAAAACTCACAGCCCATTACTGTTATTTAGCTATGTTATACAGCAAAGCAACAGTGCACAATCAATGCCCTCTACGATCACAAATATATCACTGATTTTTTTTTTATGTGTTTACAAACATAAATGTAAAACTACCTTTTTAAAAGAAAGGATATGTCAAAAATACTATAAAATTATAGTTAGGGTTGAAATTTAACTATTAGAATTACACTCTCAGAAATAAAAATATAATTAATTCAGTTTTACATTAAAAATATAGCCTTCAGAAATGAGTAACTGATTTTATTTTATTAAACAAGGAAAAAAAACATTCTCCCTTAATAAACAGAATAAATAAAAACTAACAGGTATCAAATAGTCCAAAGAAATTATTTAGTTTTCAGAAGTTAGTTCCCTTAATTAATACTTTACAAACAATTCAAGAGTTTGTCAAGATAATTATATTAGATGCACATTATCCCAAAAATTTCTCTTAGCTATTTCCCTTTTTTAAAAATACTTTATTTATTTTATTGATTTTAGAGAGGAAGAAAAGAAGAGGGAGAGGGAGGGAGCAAGGAGGAAAGGAAAGGGGAGAAAAGGGGGATGGGGAGATGAGGGAGAGGAGAGGAGGGAGAGAGGGAAAAGGGGGGGAGAGAGAAAGAGAGAGAGAGAAATAACTATTTGTTGTTCCAATTATTTATGCATTCATTGGCTGTTTCTTGTACGTACCTTGATCAAAGATTAAACCTGCAACCTAGGCGTATCAGGGCAACACTAACCAACTGAGCTACCTGACCTGACCAGAGCCTCACATTTATTTTAAATATCACACTTAAGTCATTAAACAGTAATAAATCTATCTACTTAAATTTCAGAATCCTACCTCTACAAAAATGTTTACATTTACAAAAATAGAATTCAATTTAATTATACTTACCATTCGCCCATAGATCTTAATAGGCAATCCACATTTGTCACAGAAATGAACTGGTGTATCATCCTTTTCGCCTAGGATGTTTATCTGTTAAAATGATATAATTACAATTCCCTTTTTAAACATGCTAAAAAAAATCATACCTATAATTTGCACAGTAAATTTACATTTTATAAATGTTAAAATAATTAGAAATAAAAGTTTCTTGATATTCTCACATATTCCACAATTGGCTATGCTATCAGTTTTTCGGTGTTTCTTTTTTCTTAAATAGTGTTAATGGTTTTTTATTTTACTTGACTTTATTAAAAATAGCTTCAAATTGTTTTTGGAAATGGTAGAAATAGTGTATTAATAAACAAATGAGTTGTATGTGTTGAAGGACACGGCTATAATAAAAGTTCATGCCCATTCTTTATGTATTCTGCATTATTCTAATAAAATATTTTATTGTTCTAATAAATGCTTTTATTTTAGTTATACCTGAAAGTCCCAAAAAAGGTGTCCAGGAAATCTTCGCTGATTTCCAAACAGTTCGCCCCCTTTACAGTCATACCGTTCTTTTTCATTATAATCAAATCCTTCTGAGAAAAGAAAGGGTTATCTATTAAGTTTTCATATCTCAAATTTCACTTTAGAAGTACATGTACATGGTAAAATAGGCCTGTTCCCTGATGCTTTTCAAAGTTCTTCTATGAACAAGATAATAGTTTAAACATCAGCTAGAAATTATCTTGGTGATCATGTAGTCCAACTCTCTTCATAATTGAGAATATTGCAGTAAGGACACTATCATAACAACACAAAGAAGGTTAAGTGGCAGAGCTAGGAACAGACCTCAGATCTCTTCACTCTCATTCAAGTGCTCTTATTACTGACCCAACTATTTCTACTGTAAAACTTGACTAATTATTATCATCATGCTTATCACACAAATTTTTAAGATACATAATTTACTCTAATATCTACAAAAGTAGTATCATGCTGTAAGAGGACCAAAAAATATAATGAAACAAAATATCCTGCAGATTTTCTGACTTAGTACGTTAGGTGTCTTCTTCTTCAGCTTTAAACTGAGCCTGATTTTAGAAACATCAACATATTTCAATTAAAACCACTCCCTGGTTAATCATGCAAACAGAAAAAGCCATATCAGATCTACTTACAAGTATCCTCCCCTAAACTGCATATATCAATATCAGTAAACTTAAATTGAATGAGCTCAATTTCTCTGATTTAATGAAAAGGTTGATGATAATCCTCTCATCCCACAGAAAAGAACTGAAAATCAATGAACATACTGATAGGGATTTAGGCAGAATCCAATTAACTAAAGTAAAACTGTGAAGACAAATCTATCCCTCCAAAGTGCCAGGTTTCTCACAACTCTTTTGGCCCTAGAATTGGTAGACAGAGTAGCAAAGTACACAAGTTTCAACTTGACCAATATGGCTAAATTACAGCACCTGTGTACAAACACACAAGCATGAACTGGAACAGGACAGACAGATGGACAGACACACACAAGCACACACGAACACACGAACACACACACACACAGAGTGATACAAGATTTTTTTAAAATCTAACAGAGACACTCAGTGTACCGCTATCTAATTTTCTCTAATCAAATGCAGAGTTCAAAGACTGTTCTTGTAAGTTACAACTGAATGACCTTAGGCTCTTTTATGGCTCATGTATACCTTATAAAAGCCGATATCATCTGAAACTCAAAATAAGAAAATCAGTTTTCTTATTATCTAAAACTCAAAAAATTACTGAGCAGAGTAACAGCCAAGGAAATTAGGTGCACACTATCATTTTTCAGAGTAGTTCAACCAGCACTGCCATCTATCATTAAACCACATATATACCTGTATAGATACCAAACCAGTACCCAAAACTCCGTATTTTGAACAATTCCTAGGGGAAAAAAACAATCAATAATTTTTACCCTAAATAGGTGAAACTAATGTATTCAAAAATTATCTTCAGGCCCTGGCCAGTTCGGCTCAGCAGTTAGAGCATCGGCCCACAGACCAAATGGTCACAGACTCGATTCCCAGTCAAGGGCATGTTCCTGAGTTGAAGGTTTGATCCCTAGCCCCAGTCAGGGTTGTGCGGGAAGCAACCAACTGATGTGTCTGTCTCACATCTATGTTTACGTCTCTCTATAAAATAATTAATTAATTAATCAATTAAAATAATAAAGCTGAGGTAATTTATTTTAAAAAAATATCTTCCGACTCAGTTTGTTCTATTAAGAGAGAGGCTAGTAATGGTAGCTCCCTCTAGAAAGGGATGTGGGCTTGAGGGGGTAGGGGGAAGGTAAAGGGATACCTGAGAGGAAAAGAGGAAAAGGGAGATGTTAGCTTTTTTGCATTGTTTGGATTATTACAAAATACGTACATCATTATGCAGTTTTTAAAAATTATTTAAAAAACAAAGGGGGAGATCCTAGTTACTGATAGTGCAGTAGCAGCCCTAAGTTCTACTACCATGATTTAGACTATGTGACTCTAAATTCTTGTTTAGATGGGGAGAGAAATCCTATAATAAAGAAAACCATAATATAAGGTACAATTAAAACAGTTTGATTCTAAACAAGGAAATATAGACAGATTGCTAGGACAGAATAGAAAAATCTAGAAATAGATACAAATACTTGGAGAACTTTAACATATGATAATGGTGGGATTCCCATTCAACAAGGAAAAGACAGATTATCAATGGTTGGGTCAAATAGCTAGCTGTTTTACAGAAAAAAATAAATAAAGCCAGACTTTTTTTCCTTTTCTTTTTTCAAATAACAGAATACTTATCATCCACAGTGTTCCAAAGCAGGGGTCAGCAAACTTTCTGTAAAATGCCAAATAAGTAAATACTTATGCAATTAGTCAACTATGCCATTACAGTGTGAAAGCAGCCATAAACAATACTTAAATGAATAGGCATGGCTGTGTTCCAAAAAAAACTTTATTTGGCCCACAGGGCATAGTTTGCTGACCCTGTATAAGGAAGGGTCATGGAATATGGGAAAGGCCTTTCTAAGAATGTCATAAAACCTAGAAGTCATAACAGAAAAGACTGGATATCTGCTACCTAGAATCTTTGAGCTTCTTTATAATAAAAATTTTATAGATAAAATTCAGGAAAAATAGGGAATATACATAATATATAACAAAGGGCCACCCGGCCAGTGTGGCTCAGTGGTTGAGTGTCGACCCATGCACCAAGAGGTCACCAGTTCGATTCCCAGTCAGGGCACATGCCCAGGTTATGGGCCAAATCCCCAGTGAGGGGCATGCAGGAGGCAGCCAATCAATATTCTCTCTCCCCCTCTCCCTTCCTCTCTCTCTATAATCAATAAAGGAAAAAAAGAAAGAAAAAGAAATAACCAATAATATAAAAAGATATACAACCCCACCCATAATTAAAGAAATGTATATCAAAACAAAAATGTTGAAAGTTTAATAGTATGTACTAATATTTGTGTGTGGGAGTATAAAATGATATATTGTTTTTGCAGAGCCATTTGACAATACTGTCAAGTTCTAAAATGCCCAAATCATGTAAAGTTTAAGTTCTACAAAGCATATATATTAAAGTAAATGTACAAGAATATTTACTGCAACATTGTTTTTAACAGCAAAAGAAAACTTTAAAAATTGTTAATTAAGTTATGGTATATCCATAAATGAAATTCCTAACCCTATTTTCTTAGATGAAGTGTATCTGTATGTACTGAGGAGGCAAAATCTCAAATGCACCTTACATGAAAAAAGTAACTATAACTATAAAAAAGTCACAACAGATCATTTGGGGGGAGAAAAGTTGTGGGGGAGAGAGGGACAATTTTACTTTTAATATTATGCTTTCTGCAATATTGTTTAGGTTTTTTTAAACAACAGGCAGTGTTACTTTCAACAACAAAAGAAACTAAACCAAAATACAGGGTGGGACAAAAGTAGGTTGACAGTTGTGAGTATTCAAAATAGTTTATTCTTCTATTATTATTTTGTTGTTGTTGTTAATTCTCACCAAAGGATATTTTTTTCCATTGATTTTTAGAGAGAGTGGGAGGGAAGGAGGAAGGGGAAAAGAGAGAGAAACACTGATGTGACAGAGACACAGTAATGGTTGCCTCCTCTGCATACACTATGACACAGCTGTGGATGGAACCCACAATCCAGGTATGTGCCCTTGACCAGGAATCAAACTCAAGACCCTTCAATGGTGGGGAGGATAACACTCTAACTACTGAGCCACACCAGCCAGGGCAATTCTTATAGTATCACTTCTTAATTATTGTATTATTTTCCATATGAACAATGATAGATCTACTTTTGCCCCACCTGTATTTATAAAGGGACAAAAAAGTACAACATGCCACAATGAGACATCAGTAATTCTGAAAAATGAAAGGAATATGTAACATTTTTAAAAGGTAGCGATAAGCAAGTAAAATCACATGGATTATCTGGTGGAATCAAATATAAAAAGCCTTCTGGACCTGTCAGTTTAACCAAATTACCTTCATCACCAGGTGGAGCCTTTGCAGGCATTCTGTTTATAGTCCTTGGCGTTCGAGGTGCAGGTTTGGCTTTGTTCCCCTGTTTGGAGATGAGCTTTATAGGAATTCTTCTTCTAACATCAAGACCACCCAATGATCCAGAACTGTTAGTGCCTTGTAACTCATTGTCTATGTTAGAAAAAAAAAGTTGCAATTTAGTTTTTATTTTTGAAGATTACTCTGCCACAGGCATTAAAGCAACATACCCATCATTATCAAGGGTTGAATATCTAGGTTCTGATTTTAAATGCTATGTTATAAAAGTTTAAGTACTAATTTTCTCTATTTTGGATAAACCCTTAAAAGAAATGCTTTTTGAGACATGAAACCTTGACAAAAGTTGTAGAATTCTTCCTTAAAAAGTAGAAAATAACATTTTTTTGTGTGTAATTCCAGAGCGGTTTATAGAACCATAAAACTCTTCATAAGCCCAAGATAAGAATTTCTGTCTTAAAGTAACTATAAGAGATATTTTAAAAGAAAAAGAGAATAAGAAATAGAAAGAAAAGCATCCCTATCATCATCAAGCATGCAGTTTACATTCAATAAATTTAGTAAACTGAATCTACATCAGGGCAATCAATAAAACTGAAAACACAAAACTGACAATGGTAAAAGTAAATAAATAATGCACTGAATTGAAGTTTGGTTTAAGGAAAGTGACTATTCCCTTAAGTATAAAATAGTTCTAAAATGCATTTGGAAACATCGTAAAAATTATCACACTATTTAGTAGCAAAAAAATGCAATAATGTATCTGCGCTATAACATTTCTAGATGTACACATATGACTGTTATTCTTAGTCAGCATTGTAATAGAAAATAAGTTTAGGAAGATGCAAGGTTTCTATACTTCAACTAGATCTAAACAACTGACACTTTCTAAGTCCCTACTTGTCATTGACTATGAAATACATTAACTCATATCCCATGAGTTAACAGGAGCATTATTTCATAGCACTGACTCCATTTGAAGATTAGAAATCACCTTTTCAAGTCTCTGACAAGATATTACGATACAGAAAATATTTACCTTTACCTACTAAAGAGAGAAAGGAAAATACCATAAAGTAGGAATGCAAATAAAATAGTTCTTTAAAATAGTAATGTTTTAAAGATGACAAGTTATTAAACAGGCTGTTTTGCTAGCTAATCTGACCACATTAACTTCAACAGAGGCGAATTTAGTAGTAACCAATGACCTCCAAGGCTAGTAGGCTTATACATTAAATTCACAATGATGATTTGCACTATTTCTGAACAATATATAGAACAAAATTCAAAAGGGTCCTTGTAATTTAAATATCTTTCAGTTTATTTTCTACTATTACTTTTATAACCCTCAAAACAAAATTCATGGAAAAATAATTGCATGGACAGCTAAAATCTTGAGTTCAGATAAACGCAACTTGATCAACTTCCAACACTTCGATAAATGTGTTAACAAGTTGAATAATGTATTTCATCTGCTTTTACTCTAGTTGCTTATTTAAGTATAACTACCTAAAGCAATGTAATAGCCAAAAAAACAGATATGACAGAATGATTTTTTTTTTGCTCGAAGGTATTCCTGATTTTCCAATAACTAAAAAAGTAAGCTGTTGTAGATGGAGAATTAACAGTTCAAATTTGCTCTTCAAATATTAAAAGGACTCTTAACGGCTTTACCTTGTTGAATGATCAAAATACCAACATTCCATTTCAAGTCCTTTTTACAGCACCCTGAACACTAAAAGTCACTACTATTGCTTGCTTAGCCTACCACCAATTTCAAGAAACTGCTGCCCCTTAATTCGTCACTGCCTGCGCCTCATTTTGAGTCTGTCTTAGATTTTTTGGTTTATTAAGAATTAAAATATAAAGCACAACTTCCTTTTAAATATGTCAACTAAAAACACAAAGCCCATAACAGAAAGTCTTTGGATATCACAGAGAAAGTGAGAACTAAGGATATAACTGGCCGTTTAAACTAAATCCACTTTAATAAGGTATAATACTTTTATATTATATATATAACATATATAATATATAACTTATACATATATATAAAAGGTGTATGTAGAATTTCATCTTGAATTAAGGAACCAAAAAATAATTTGCAAAATTTAGGTTACAGTTACAACTAGGTGCTAAGTCTTAGAATGAGCAAAGAATGAATCAAGTGTTAACTAGAAGTTTCTTGCAGTAATTTTTCCAGCAAAATTCTATTAGGACACCACAGGGTAAGCTTTATTATATGTTTGACTTTTTCAGCATGATCGCAAAATAGGTCATTTTTGCATAACATCCTAAGGTTTCATCAACTTCTTGAAGGGCCTCTCTTAATCCTTTAATATTAAATCATTCTTTTGAGATGCCTATTACATTTTCAATTAATTGGCTAACAGGCATTTTCTTCACTTGCCAATGATTTTGTGATGCATTTCATAAAAACCTGAGTCTTTTGTAAGGTTTGTAAACACAATCTATATACAGCATTTGATACTGTTGCCTGATATGAAACATCAAGAATATAACAGTATTAACTAAAAAACATAAAAGAAGTTAGTGTTAAGCAGCGGGATATCTGAGTAGGAACCAAATTTTTAAGTGGTCAGCTCATTAGTGAATATTTTCACGTTAGGATGACTTTCACTTTCTTAGGCAACCTTTCAATTTAGGAGAATTATAGGAAACCAAATACTCAGGTACACACACCCATATTACAATTTCTTAACATAATATTCTCTAAACTGTGAATAGGCCTTGACTTCCATTTCCAGTAAAAGGCTTAAAAGAGAAATAGTTGGCTAACTTTGGATGTTTGCTACTTTTTCATCAAGATCCCAGACTTTCAATTCTATTTCAAAACTAGTACTCAAGTTTCTTAGAGTCTACTTCTAGGCCCTCTTCTCTTCTATATTCCCTTTCCTTAAGTGATTTTGTCCATCCTCATACCTTAAAATATCAATTATGCAGTACTAAGTCCCAAATATGTTTTTCAGCCCAAATCTTTCCCCTGATCGCCACTGACAACTCCCTTTGCATAACTTAATATATCTCTTGTACTTAACAGTCCAAAATCTTGTTCCCAAAATCCCATTAATCATCTCTACCCCTTAAAAAGTGTATTTTTCTCCCAAGGTTTTCCCCAACTCTGTAATGGGCACTACTTAGCTGCTCAAACCAGCAATCTAAGCATCTCTCCTTTCTCTCACGTATCTCCAAACCAGTCCATTAATACATGTTTAAGTACTAACACCAAAATATTTTATTGAATCTGCTTATTCTCAACTTCACTAAATAAAGCCACCTTTACATTAAGCCAAACGTCCTTCTGGTTTACAGCAATTACCTTCTAAATTGTCTATTTCTATTATTCTTGCCTCCCTCTCTTACACCATTCTCTGTAAAACCTATTACATTTTTTAAAAAGATTACGTTCCTCCACTACTTCTGTTCAATGGCTTCATGTTGCACTTAAAATTCAAATCTTTGCCATGGCCTTCAAAGTCTTCTTTTTAATTTTAACTTTTATTTATTTTAGAGGGCGAGAGGGGCAGAGAAGAGAAACATGTGAGAAGCATTGATGGGTTGCCAACTGCAAGCGCCGAGACCTGGGACCCAACCTACACCTGCGTATGTGCCCTGACTGGCCACCTTTTGGTGCACGGGACGACGCGCCGACCGAGCCACCTATGCCAAGGCGGCCTACAGATATCTGGCATATATACATATTTGTTCATTGACGACATCCCAACCAATACTTAATACAGAGAAAAGCCTTTTTTCCCGACTTGCGATTCGGTTGACATAACCGTATGGAGCACTTTCTAACTCCAAGTGCACTTATTCAGTATCCAAAAAACAGAAGGAAGCAAGGGGGGGGAGGGGGCACTTAAGGAAGAGTGGTGTCATTGCTTGGAGAAAGGGATGTGAATATCTTGATTTTAAGCTCTCCTTTGTAAATGTACTAAAATGATGAGTTAAGGACCACAGCCGAAGCGCGGAACATGCTTTGGATTTTAGGTGGAAAAACTGCTCGGAGTATCATTCCGAAAACCACACCTGATTCCCTTCGCCCACCTCTAGTCCATGAAGCACCGGAGATACAATAACGACAGGCGGTGACCACTGCAGCACCCGCCCAAAGCTGACTGAGACAGCAGGAAGTCTCTAACCCACTCTCGCGCATCGACTCTCAGCATAATAGGGCTTCCCCGACTCCGGGATTGGAATCTACCCGCCAGTGCCCACAAGGTACGGCAGGGCACCCAGCGCTCTCTCCTCCCCACGGAGCCCGCGCCGCCCGCCGTTGGGGCTCGGGGCTCAGCAGAACCAGATAGGAAGCGGCTATCGCCCGCACCGACGCTGTGGGCACCACACCGGAGAGTAGGCCAGGAAGCAGCAGGCGCTGGCCGGGCACGGGGAGGGGTCTGAGAGATTTCTTTCTCACCGCCACACCCCAGTGCTGTAGGGCGAGCACAACCCCTCTATGCCCGCTAGGCGACCAGTCCCAGGCCAGCCAAGGGGGCTTGGTACCGGGACCCCCCACTGCCTCCGCCTCCTTACCAGTGTGATCCATGATTCGGCTCGCAGAGCACAGTGGGAGCGGAAGTCAACTGCGCCGGAGTCGCAGGTAGCGCGTGCGCGCTGCCTTCCGGAGCCCGGGAGGCGGAAGTGCGACCAGGTTGCCCCGGCTCTAGCCTCCAAGGGCTTCGTTCTCTCACGTACACTACCCATCTCCGGTGAGGGAGCCAGGCATAGTTTGGGCGAAGGAGAAAGAGCGAGTATGGGAGAAGCTGTGTTTCTACGGCTTCTCCTCACATGCTTGGAGAGAAAGCCTTTAACTGCAGAAAGGAGACCGACGGGAACGGGAGGGGGAGAGCGGTAATAGCCGGCGGAATAAGCTCGCGGCAGGTAAAGGGGACGCCCGCCCTCGCGATGCTTTGACTTCTGGGACTTGGAGTAAGCCTGAGCCCTTGAGTCGCCCAGGCCAACTGCGCAGGCTCGGCCGTTGGGCTGGCCCCACCCCGCGGGCGGAGTAACGGTTTGGAATCCACCGTGGTCCTTGGGCGACAGTCTCCTCCCCCAGGTCTAGGAAAAGTGTAAACACGCGCGCTCGGTGAGCCGTTCTCCGGTGGATGGCTGAGCTGTGTGAAGCTCCCAGCTAGAAAGAAGGGCTCAGTGGTTACTGTCTAAATGTCGTTTTGTCGTGACAAGCTACACAGAACCGGTCCCCACCTCTTAAGTTTCTAACCATTGCAACACGTTTGTAATGCTTGACTAGTATCCATTTGCCAGCGTAAACGCTTGTGCAGATAGGAACCCCCACAGCACGTATCCTAAGCATTGGACGAGGGGCAGGTGGAAAGCGCGTGCAGAGAAGCCGCCTCGCACTAGGGGACACCCGGCAGTAAGTGCAGAGTGGAGCTGAAGGAGCGGATAGACAAGGGGTGAGGTGGAAAAAGCATTTAGGGCTGGCGGGAAGGAAGAGGTTAAAAAGGAAAGGCCTAAAAATGAGGAAGAGAGTTGCTACTACAGGCAGTACCTAGTTCCAGTTCTTGGTCCCAGGAGTTTGTGGTTGCTGCTGCTTTCATCTTCCTCGGCCAAAACAAAGGAAAATGCCAAAGAGTGATTTCTGAGGACCTTCAATGCAGTCTCCACCTCGCGGACATACCTTATTTGTGTCCACTCCCTTCTCCAGCCCTTTACACCTGATGCCCTTGATTAGTAGAAAGGAGCACAATTAGTGGAAAACACAAGCTGGGGAGTCAAGGGATTTGGGTTCTATTCTTGTTCTCCCTTGGTGACGACATCGTTACTGGGTTATTCTCGCTTTCAGTGCTCGAGTCCCTAAATAAATAAGAGATTATATTGACCTCTTTACAGAAATCTTTTCGTGGTATTGAATTGCAAATAAAGTATATGTAGCAATGTGCTCTATCTGTATAGTTATACAGTAACAGGTTTGAACAATAATATGATCAGTACTATAAGTGCTTTATTATTTGGTGGATGTTTTAGTGGGATCTTTTAAAAGACATTCCCGCTATATCTGCAGCTTTATAAACTTGTTTTTAAGTACATTCACAGCTAAGAACAATTGTGAATCAGTTACCCCTGCTTTTCTTAAAATGTAAATTTCTGAATTACTAAGTGATTTTCAAGATGCTTTCAAATATCAGGGTTTAGTTTTTGTTTTGGAGGTTGGAGAAAGCTTTACCTTTCTCCCATACCTGATCGGATATTTCACCAATTTGGGGTACAAAAGAAGGTAGTTTTCACCTAGAAGGAGCTCTTTGTATTTTTTGTATCCTCACATTTAGCCTGTCGGTCATTCTTCAGACAGATGCAAATTAAGGTTCTGAATACTGTCAGTTTCTGCTGATGCTGATATTTAAAAAATTACAATTAAAAAAGAACCTTCAAACTGTATTTTACATAATTTAAAGAGTAAATCAGAGGTTTTGTCAGCGTTTTATAGTCCATCAGGTTAGGAAAATTTACTGAGGGTAGATTCAGTTATTTTAGTCTTCCTGTTTAGGTACACAAACAGGATACACATTTGTTGAATTATTTTATTTGATATCTGTTGTTTTCATGCATTGCTTTAACATTCATTTCCCCCTTAACTCTAGTTGTCTCACTTTACCAGTGCAGTAAGAGTGACAAATTATTCTCATTACCAAATTGATAAGTGAAACTATACACAGACTTATATTTTATTACTATACTGTCTGGTATCTGTTGTTAGTGACCTGTATGTATAGTCACAGTTTCTTTATGGAAAGTTGACATTCACATTAAAAAAAAAATTTTTTTTTTCTTTATTGATTTTAGAAACAGAGGAAGTGAGAGGGAGAGAGACAGAGAACATCGATTGGCCGCCTCCTGCATGCCCCCCACTGGGCCTTTGGCCCACAACCTGGGCATGTGCCCTGACTGGGAATCAAACCAGTGACCTCTTGGTGCATGGGTCGATGCTCAACCACTGATCCACACCAGCCGGGCTGCATTCACATTTATTTTATAGCATGGTACTATCCTAAGCTGTATAAATTTGGTGCCTAACTCAAATACTATACAGGCTAGCATTTGTAGAAATAATTAAAAACACACAATAAATTCTGTGTGTTTTGAAGGAATGCAGTGCTATCTATATTCAGAGAAAATGAGCAGTAGGACTGAGAGGATAGTTAGGTAGGCTTTATGGAGGCATTTAAGCTGAACCTTGATTAATAGATAAGATTTAAAGAGGAGTGCAGTGGAAGAGGCATATCAAACAGGACAAGTAACAGCATAGATGTGAAAATTGTTATAGTTTCTATAGAGGACAGTGACCAGCTTGAGTTGTGCTGTTGATCCATGCTTGAAAGTACTGAAAAAAAATAAATAAATAAGGTATAATTGTAAAGATCCTTGAAAAGGAAGATTTCAGAGTAACAGTTAAAGCATATAAACAAAACCTAGCATGATGTATATAATATATATAAACTACATAATTCAGAGTGACATATTAAAAAACAATGAGCAGCCTGGTAGGTGTGGCTCAGTGGTTGAGCATTGACCCATGCACGAAGAGGTTGCCAGTTTGATTCCTGGTCAGGGCATATGCCCAGGTTATGGACCAGATCTCCAGTGGGAGGCATGCAGGAGGTAGCCAGTCAGTGTTCTCTCTCATCAATGTTTCTCTCTCCCTCCTCCCTAAAATCAATAAAGAAAAAAAAAAACAATAAGCAAATCTTAAGTTGGGGGGGGGGGGTGGAGTGAATTAATACTGTTACATGTAAGAGAAGAACAATTAAGAAGCCAGAGATCCCTATGATGGCTAAAATGTCAGCAAGTACAAATGAACTGTTAATAAGAGAAGAACAGATCAGCATAGTGTCCATATATATGAACAAGTGTGCAGATTATGTTATTGAATTAAACCTGTATGGTTTTGTGAACCAATGTCACCCCAATAAGTTCAATTAAAAAAGGAAAGTAATTGTATTTGTTCATTTGGAGACCCAGTTCTCAGTAGGTAGCTAATACAAATTATAGGAAAGAAACTCCAAGCATCCTTGTTCTTGAGTTTCCTGGCATTCTTGGTCATTATTATCTAGCTATCTTTTTTCTCATCACCCCTTTGCACAGTGACACAAGATTAATTGCTCCCGATATTAAGATTTATCCTTTCTCATAGACATTTCTAGAATAGCACAAGCTCTTCAGAACACCATGACAGAGAAAAAGCAGTGGTATTCAAATTTAAATTACAGCCCTGGTCAGTTTGGCTCAGCAGTTAGAGTGTCTGCCTGTGAACCAATGAGTTGTGGGTTCGATTCTAGTCAAGGGCACGTACCTCGATTGCAGTTTTTCCTCGGCCCTGATTGAGTTGTGTGGGAGGCAACTAGTCGATGTGTCCCTCTAATGTCAATGTTTCTCTCTGTTTCTCCCTCTCTTCCTCTCTCTCCCTCCCACTCTTATTTGAACAAAAATAGAAAAATATTCTCAGGTGAGGATCAAAAAAAAAAAATTCCAAGCCAGACACACATTGATTGGTTGCCTCCCACACAACCCCAACTGGGGCCAGGGATTGAACCTGCAACCCAGATACATGCCCTTGTCTAGAATCAAACCTGCAACTCTTTGGTCCTGGGTTGATGCTCTAACTGCTGAGCCAAACTGGCCAGGACCTTCATTGTAGTTTTAGTTTGCATTTCTCTGATTATTAGTGACATTGAGCACTGTTTTATGTCTATGGGCCACCTATATGTCCTTTTTGGAGATATGTCTATTCAGGTCCTTGGCCCATTTTTCAATTGGACTGTTTGTCTTCCCGGTGTTAAGTTCTATGAGTTCTTTATATATTTTGGAAATTAACCCCTTACAGATGTATCATTGGTGAATATGTTCTCCCATACAGTGGGTTCCCTTTTCATTTTGTTCATGGTTTCTTTGCTGTATGGAAGATATTTACTTTGATGTAGGCCCATTTGTTTATTTTTCCCTTTGTTTCTCTTGCCCTAGAAGATGTATCAGCAAAAACACAGTTACATAAGATTTACATAAGATGTCTGAGCTTTAACTGCCTATGTTTTCTTTTAGAATGTTTATGGTTTCATAACTTACATTTAGTCTTTTATTCATTTTCAGTTTATTGTGTATGGTGTATGTTGGTGATCTAGTTTTTGTTGTTGTTGTTGTTGTTGTTGTTTGCATGCACCTGTCCAATTTTCTCAGCACCATTTATTAAAGAGACTTTCTATACTCTACAGTATATTCTTATCTTCTTTTTCAAATATTAATTAACCGTAATGCCGTGGGTCAACTTCTGAGGTCTCTATTTTTCCATTGGTCTATATATCTGTTTTTGTGGCATGACCAAGCTAATTTGAATAAAGTGGCTTTGTAGTATAGTTTGATATCTGGTATTGTGATGCCTCCAATTTTGTTTTGCTTTCTCAAGATTGCTGAGGCTATTCAGAGTCTTTTATGGTTCCATATAAACTTTGGAATATTTGTTCTAGATCTATGAAATAAACCAGTGGTATTTTAAAAGGGATTGTGTTGAATCTGTAGATTGCATTGGGTAGTGTGGACATTTAAAAAAAAAATTTTTTTTTTGAGAGAGAGAGGGAGAAAGAACATTGA